AAAGTTCTGAAAAAAACGACAAAGGTCTGAATCGAACGACATTGTTGCCGAACATGCAATAGGAGAAGTTACGTATAAAACACAAAGAAAAGTTACTACAAAACGTTATATAAGCAACGAAAAAAATACCTAGCCGTCGTGGGTTTCTTAAGCCAACAAACAAATGTATTATTTTTTCGAATAGATTAATTATATCTTCAAGCAAATTCTCGATTGAAGTTGCAAAAATGCGCACTTATCAGACGATTGATAAATCCTAAGCATTTTGTTCAAAAATTTATAGCGCGATAAGAGGGAAAATACACAAAAAAACGAGATTTTGCTGTCAATATATGCGAGGAATTTTACGAGCTGCATTAGAGCTGAAGTCGACCGCCAGCCCTCCGCTGGAGACGCCCTCTCGTAAACAACAACCGGCGGCCGGGAGTCTAGCGCAACTTGGAATTTTCCCGAGGAGGGTTAGGTGTTGACAGCAAATTGTATGCTGCTTCCTTGCGAGGGGAAATAGACATTGATCTTTAGGTTAGGGATAGTGAAATTAGAAAAACTGGAAATCATGTTTCGTATGTGAACTCCAATTCGAGCGGATACTCCGAATTTTCCCTCATGGTTGGAACTGCAGCCATGCGATTAATAAAAATTAATTACGTTTGATTACGTTGCTTAATTGAGTCACCTGTAAATGAAGAGAAGATTGACCACTAGGTTGTACAAAAATTACGTATTCTAAGGTATATTATAACACTTCTCTTTAACTTCACTTCTTGTTGTTTGTTTGTCTGCTGCAAATCTTATAATCGATATTTAACGCACTTCTACCTGTTCATTCGATCTGAAATTTTGCGCACTTGCGTAAAGTCGGAGACAATGCACGAATCAACTGACAAAATAAATAATTTTGAAAATTTAATTTTTTAATATTAAAAAAATGAAAATTCATTTGTTGAATATTTAAAAATAAAATTAAACATGTGTATCATTGGAGACACTGGATTCTTTAGAAGCGTTGTTTGTAAAAAATAATTTTTTAACGCCTATATATATATATCATATATTTAATTGAATTGACTATTTTAGGATATATTTGACGATGTAAAAAAGCACAAACATAGTTTTAAATTTTCTACATTACTCAGAAATATTGCATAGGATCAGATAAAACAATATAAATACAATATTTCGTTGTAGAATTTAGTTGTAAGATAGCCGTGAGTACGGTAACAAAATCGATAATTTTCATGTATTGGGGAACGGCAAAGTTTATTACTGAAGACCGAAGCACTATGCATAACAATTTCATCTATAATTCATTAACTTGAAAATTGATTAGAAACTTTCGTCCAATTCAGAAACTTTTGAGTCAGCGGCATCGTTAACTTTTAGTGGCGTCTGTCTAAGAAGTCATCACAAGACCTAATAGTCGCCGGTTGAAGATTTTTTCGGAAATAAAGCAATGTCAATATCAATCAAATGCGAGGCAACGAGATCAGATAACGATTGGCCATTCATGGATATCGAAGATGCGTCAATGAACTCTGGATGCACTGGGCGCTTTCGAATAACATCCGGTAGAGGTCCGTCTGTCTGTCCGTCCGTCCGTGACCTCAAGTTTTCGTCATCGAGAAAATGTGCTCTCTGTCACTCACTGCAGTGAGTACTGAGTTATATTTTTTGTCACATGTAAACGTTGGAGAAAAGTTTTCTACGGCTCATTAATAAATCACTTTTCTAAAATAGTAAAAAATGGGACTTAGAATAAAATTCTTGGTAATGTTTGTCACGAGAGTAAGAGACCGCCCTATTAACTGACCTTAATTGCGTGATCAGCTCGGGAGTAGCGCAAGACAGCATTCAAATGTATTCAAAATTAACTTTAATTTAATTTGTACATATTTATTTCTCATAATTAATAATCATAGTTGCTCATTTCCCTAGTTTTACTATTTACTTCAAATATAAAAATATAACAGCGGATGGTAAGAGCAGAGAATTGATGACATTATTCTCAGTGGTCTTTTTTGTGAGAACAAATAATGGAATACCTACTGCTCTAGGTAACCAAAAAATCACTGGGAAAATATTCGTTAATTTCAAAATGGTATGCATCAAATTTGCAGATGTTAAAATCTCATTAAATAGAGTATTCTATGAAGCAAACAAACCCAACACGAATAAAGACATGACACATGCAGGCTGGTAACACTCGACCATGATTTAGTTTAGAGGCAGCGTAGAGCTGTAATAAAACAAGGTGCAGTAACTTGGCACCAGTTGTAAAACATCTGAGATGCATGCCGAGCATTCTTAATGAACTTGCAACTTTGTCAGAATTTTGAGCCCGCCGAATAATGGGTTAACTTGGTTAGTAAAATTTTTGATACGTTCTTGCACTCGGAAAAAAACGCGCAGTCTGTTAAATAAATCATGAGTGCGTGAATCAAACATTAAGATTTCAGCTTCTTCTAGATGTGCGAAAATTATTTATCTTTATCTTATTTTTGTTTCTGGAAGAGTTCTCTTCATCACTCGATGTAAAATTGATGCATTGAGCTCAATTCATCAATTTTGCCTGGCTTTCCATCCAGGCAGATATTGTACAGGCTTTATTCCCATTATTTTAGATCTTCGTTTCGAAGTTCAGTTATTCCTCCTCACTACCCGTCATCAATATTGATTTGCTTTGCGTGATGGCTTACTCAACTAAGTTGCTGGCAGGCAAACTAACGCAAACTGTTCCAAACAAACCGCGAAACGTGAAATTCATGTCCTCAAACTCGCGGAATTTCAGGGGTTCCTGAGCATTTAGCATTTGCATAACAGCAGAAATATTGCGCAGTTGAATTTCACGCTAGAATTTCCCCGATTGTACACGATTTTTTATCACTATTCAACCTCGTATTAAACGATAGATATAAACAAATTTCCAAGGTTCCTGTGTTTAAATAAACCCCTAACTCATTTAATTTCCAAATGAACTGGAAGACGCAAAGCATTGAGCAAGTCTCTGACTGAATTTATGTTTCAATTTTATCTCAAAATCCTCGAAGTTTGAAGCCCGACCGCCATCATGAGCCAGCCCGACCGAGTCCAGAGTAGCGAACGTTGCCGGCAGACGGCACGAATTTACGGGCAAATGAGGACCCTTGCCCATTTCAAGCGCAAAGTCCTTACATTGGATTATGATCATCGCTGAAGAAACATTCAGGAGAATGAAGTGAACTTGGCTCGAAACGAAAATTTTTGCCTCGTCGAAAGAATGCGGCGCAAAATAGGCATCGCTGAGAGCGAGGTCGGTTCAACAAGTGGTTTGCGACTCGTTCTGGCGCCAGGAGAAATTGACCTTTTACGAAGTGGAAAATTTTGGCATTAACTCTAGCGGGTGATGCAAGAGTATATTATTGGATTATATAAAGAACTCGTGTTGATAATGTCATGTAGTTTTGCCAGAATTAAATCATAAACCTGGTGTCCCCTAAAAATTTTATGACAGGTTACACATAAATTTGGCGGCTGAATTGACACTTACGGCAATTACTTAATTCCATACCAGCCAGCATTTTACCGTTTAAAAAAATTTGCAGCTTACACTTCAGGAAATAGAAAATTTATGGAGTTTGCCTTCTCTTAATTTGTACAATCTGCCGAGAAGCTCAACCATAGAGCACCAATTTTGAACACCAATCAATATTCAATTGGACTGCTTTGTGTATTAAATCAGCCTAGTATCTCTCCGTAATGCCACCAATCAGACACGGTCTAAGCTTGCCGTCCGTAATTAGCCCAAATCATTAGTGTTTTTTTTTCAATATTACCAGTTTAAGCCCCAACTACCGGACCGAATAGCCCAGCTAGGGTGTAATGGCTATCTACTACTAAACGTAACAGCGTCAATTCATTATTCTGATGAAATGAATCGTCAATTAATTTCTGTTCAGAGTGCAAGGAAAAAAATCCTATTAAATAAAATTAACTCGCAAGAATATGTAAGGTTGATAGATAGATAAATTGTAGGTGTTTGAATATTTTTGAATTCCTACGTTATACATGCACGCTCAACCGCACAATTTCCGACCACCACGCTGCTCTAACTTTGCGAGTCCGCGACCATTTTAAAGACTCCACAATGCTTCGTAAACTTGTGTCAAACAAACGAAATGAACAACTAAACAATTAATTAAGTTTATGAAACGAATTTATTATCTACTGACGTATTTGTAATAAAGATTTTATACTTCGCTTGAAAAAATTATTGACTGAAATAATAACGAGAATATCACGACGTTATTGATAATTTTTGCGTCTGTAATCAACAGGCTACCTTTAGTTTACATTTTTCAAACGGGTAGAATGTCACAAAATTTCTGTTGCATTGCTAACATGTATATAATATTCCGTACTATAATTTAGGTACCTTACTTCGCACTAGAACTAATGACAATTGGTAGAACTGGCTCGGCTCTTGTGCGTCTATAAGCCCTAGAACTACTGTTCTCCTTATCTCCTTAGACCTAGAACTGCAAAAATTAGTTTCCTAATGTGCAAGACATTTTCATATGAATATATTCCTTTGATGTTGCCGTTTTTCCTGTTTTTATGGTTGTATTATTTTGTTGCAGGATGTTGCGTTCTTTTTCAATCAAAAGTCTATACGAGACCCCTCGAGTTTCGCTAACAACATAGACCATTATGCTTGCTTAGACTATTCTAGCAGTTATTTCTAACTTAACTACTTCATCATAGACAGCTCATTGCAATTCCGTTGCTCCGTATCAGATAGGCTTCACCATTAAAGATACAATCAAATTTCAATTCAACAATTTCATCACAAACTGATAGTACATCGAAATGAGTAAAATCCCCCTTCCATGAACATTGAAAGGACATGAATTGGTTTCTAAACATGAAAAAATACGTTGGTGTCAGTTCAGATACGACGAATTGAAGTTCAGAGATATCGAATTAAAGGAAATCTGTTCAATATTATATATTATTCTCCTCACTTGTGGGATTTTAAAGAGGCGCAGGAGATTGGCGACTTGAATGGAGGTAACCGAAGAGGCAGCACCCACGACCCCATCGATGACCTTCACTTTGCTGGAGGAACCGTCGCTGCATTTGTATTCCTGGTCGTGGATGTTGCTGATGGAACCTGGAAATAGAAAAGAGGGTTGGGAGTGCTGGAGGAAATGTTGGGTCTGCTCGTGGCCTTAGTTTGTGGCCACGAGGCTGCAATGGGTTATGCACAGAAAAATGCGTTATAAAAATGGTGCGTTATGCACATAAAAAAACCTAAAATGTTTTTGCGTTATGCACAGAAAAATACAAAAATTATCCCGTCTGATCTACTTTTTTGGCTATAATGTCTACTCCATTACTATGCAAACTGAAAAATAGAGTTTATGCAAACCATCCATGACTATGCAAACCTTTCTAAACGCTCCTTCCTCAGCTGTTTCAGGTGTTCTAAAGAATGGTACGAATTCAACTGCAGGCTAATTGATAACTGCTGCACATTCAGACTGACACCTTGTGAGGACATATTTTTCAAACTTATAGTTTACATTTCGAGCCAAACTGCGAGACGCAGAAGAAATAAAATCTCATATGGCTTTTTTTTTAATTTTCTCAATGACGCGTAATAAGAACAAATGACTGCCAACGCGCTGAGCAAGTGATTTAAATTAAGCCGCGAATTCGATACACTTCGTACTTTGTATTTTTTTGTGTCAATTCTCAAGTGCATTCAGCGCCAAATGCAATGCAATTAAAAGAAAAATGCATCGCACCAAATGCAATCCAATTAAAACAAGAATACGTCTCGCTAAAAACACTACATTTTCAATTGAGTTTGCTTCAAATATGTTTGTTGTAATCAAGGCAGGAACTTTAAGTTCATATTTAAAAAAAATTTGATTGGATATAATTAAATACAATAATTTGATACGCTATACGAAAGTGAACCGCCCAATCCTCGAGTTATTCATAGTTCTTTGATGAAAACAAGTCACAATTCAAGGAAATATCTTTGGTAAATAAATATTCCGGCTTAATATTCTCGCAACGCTGGGAAGGTTTGATAACGAAACAGTATCTAAAATTCCAGCCAGAAATGTAAATGAATATAACAAGTTATTATGCCTTGGACTTGAAACTGCCTTAAATGTAATAAAGATTTCTTCGATATTTTTAGGCATATTTCAGTATTTATTTAGTCAAACACGCGACAATAAAAAGAGCCCCAATTTAAGCGTTTCATACACTAGAACCCATTGACATAATTGTAAGTTATTTCCATGGGCCTCTTCGACCTGCACTATGAGACTAAACTTGTTCACAAAAACAGAATTTTTCAGGTTTTTAGCCACGGTTGTTGCCTGCGTATGACAGGCCGTCGTACGCACCAACGCTGAAGAGAAGGCTGAGCCCCAGCGATACAAGGTCGTAATTCAGTGCCCCCTCCAATAATTTACTTCCGACACATTCAGTCCCAACACCCGGCGGCGGACCAGAATTTCTCTCCAAAATTCACGCGGAAGCAATGACTTCCAACCACGCGCCACAGCGTGAGTAAATGGTGCAGGTCAAATTAGCGAGAGAATTTCTTTTACAGAAATTTAATGGAAAAACTGGCCAGAGTTGACAGACAGATGAAAACCGGCCAGAGTTGAAAGATAGATGACAACCAGCCAGAGTTGACAGACAGATGATAACCGGCCAGAGTTGACAGACAGATGACAACCGGCCAGAGTTGACAGACAGATGACAACCAGGCAGAGTTGACAGACAGATGACAACCGGCCAGAGTTGACAGACAGATGACAACCGGCCAGAGTTGACAAATAGGTACCAACCGGCCACAGTTGACAGACAGATGACAACCGGTCAGAGTTGACAGACAGGTGACAACCGGCCAGTGTTGACAGACAGGTACAACCGGCCACAGTTGACAGACAGGTACCAACCGGCCACAGTTGACAGACAAATGACAACCGGCCAGAGTTGACAGACAGGTGACATGAAAGTAATCATTTGAATCGTTCTAATCTGCCGGAGTGAGCAGCTAAAAGGCAACCGGTCAGAGTTGACAGACAGATGACATCCGGCCAGAGGAAGCAGCCAAAAGTTTCAATCGTTTGAACATTCAAATTATGCCATCAATTCGGTGGGCTGGAAGGAATATATTTGCTCTCTTTTCCTTTCTTCATAAGCTCATCATTAATTTCCTGCACCAACTAACGCTTCTGGGACAGTTTATGTTATTTTCTTTGCCACTGAGGACATAATCTGGATTCAACATTGCGGCATACACAATTTTAACAATTTTATGGAAATAGTCGAATTTAAATCATTGAATGGACGATCCCTACAACTGAAAATAAAATAAAATATATTGAATATGCAACGGTAGGTTTGTCACCTGCAACCAACGTCTATGTATCAAATAGTATTGCGTCAAGTTCAAACACCAAAATGTTTCTGCCATAGAACGGTACACTTGACTCCCACGTCCAATTACCATCCCTCCATTTCTCATCAAAATTAATGAAAGGACAAGGACGGGTACAGACTGCGCTGCATTGCTGTACATGGAAGCTATATTGTCCGCCTTCCGCTTTGATGAATACGACGCCGTTCACCCCGCCACTGAACTCCACGGCAGGCTGCTGTAACATTTCAGGCCTTCCAAAAGGTATTCAAGTGAGATGCACTAGAGGGGCTAAGCACAGCAGTATATAGATGTCAGGGCGTTGGGCGATGGTAGTGAACATGCGACTACTGTTTGATCGTCTTCTAAAAATTTGGTTGTCTGAAAATTTCATGTTCAGTCCCAATAGCCATTGAACCGAACCAATTGCAAAAGTAGATAATGAATATAACTTTATTTGGGGTAAAAAAATTTAATACGCTACATGCACGGGAAAAGTATATAAATCATATGTAGGAGTTAACACTGGCAACTAGTTTAAAGTCAAAAACCTTGCCAGAGGTGGCTTTCGATTCCTACGACTCAGAATCTATTTGCAGACTCAGAAACTGAAAGAAAACATACAATAGTAAAGTCAGTACTTGAGAGGCTAGGCTATCTCGGTGACGCTACACTCAACGTGATGCCCTCAGTCATCAACGAACTTGAGTTCTTTCGAGGACATCAAGACTGCAATGAATTTAACGCCGATCAATAGTATGGGCCGAAATAGGGAAGAATAATTGTCCCTCTACTCTTGTCTTGCGGAAAGACGAACAAAATTTTGGTGAACAAAGTTTAATCATTTTTGTTCAATGCACGAGCGTTTACTAGTCCAGAATGACAAACACTAAAATATATATAAATAAACTATCTCAAAACAAGCAATATTATCTCAAATAACTAGTTATTTGACATAAATTACCCTGAAAAATATCGAAGAAATTTAAATCATGGCCGCTGGAAAAAATTCGGACAATGCACGCATTTCTTAAACTCCAGTACATTTTTTCTAATGGTACTTTTTTTTATTCTTCATACTCATATCGAAACTTTTTTTATACATTCCACGCTGAGATATTCTAGGCGAGCTCTATCTCTATGAACCTTACCGCTTGTTACCTTTCACCAGGACTTTCCATCATTAATTACCAATGAATTAAGGCATACAGGACATCGTACAGAACGAGCGGCTCAAGAGCTACTACATACACGAGCATCGTTCGTCATGCTCCTCACAATGCGTACTGTGACACCAGCTTTTATCGTTCTGTTACAATGGACCGCTCAGCCAAACAACTCATTCTAATTACTTGCAGGCTCGTTGTTCAGCTTCAGCGCAATTATCAAGCTTGTACAAGAAACATAAAAATCAGGCACAGTGTGTCACAATTGCAAACCAAAATTTCTTTGCTTTAAATTTGGACGAAAAATTTCATGAATTATTAAAAAGTGTGCTCCGAATTCCAATTTACAAAAAGTTTAATGCAGGTCTCTGCAATTAATTTTCTCCTGCGGATTTCCATACTTTTCCCTTATTAATCTTCAGCTGTACATGAATTAAGGCACAGCTTCTAAAAAAAAGTATGGAACAAATAAGATAACTCTCATCTCACTCACATTAATATACGAACAGATACTGTAACTAGCGTCCACTTATCACGACTCTCTCTAGACGATTCATCGCTCATGAAGCGAACGAGTCTAAAATAATCCTGTGAAGCCTGGTGCCCTCTTCGTGCCCCCTCGTTACCAATAGATAAACATTCATGCTGGGGCTGCACCGCTGTAATCAACGGGGTTTAATGAGAAAAATGTTTTAATATGTATAAATGTATAAATATATGGTCAACGTTCAAATGTGCTTTCCATGATTTCAGTAATATGAAATTTTATAGTTGTTTGAACATGCGGTCTTTCCATGCACCTGTTGTAGTCAGCTGCTTGTGGCGCCAATCAATTTTTCATGATTTTGTGCTTCACATCAAATCAGATGCAAATAAAGTGAAAATCAATTTTATTTGTGTAAAAAATAATAACATTTACATATGTACTCGCACAAATAATAACGTTTGTTTGTCGTGAATACTTTGCTTAAACACCAAATTAAAAAATAAAATAAAATGTCGAAAGTATTGCCTTTTTTTAACTAAATGTAGGGAAGAGAAAAGCTCCTAGGTTATCAGTAGGATTCATCATAAATTTCAAACGAACCAAGTCCTGTACTGACTTACAATTGGTTATAATATTTGATGAGCCAAATACATTAAACGATCGTGCCTCCAGTCATATGATTTATGTTCGATATGTTCGACAAAGACTGCGTCAATGATGGGAACTTAGTAACTCTGAACACTGTTTCGTACCATGAATAATGTCTCGGTAAAGTTTGCTTGCCTCTCTTTGACGTCTACTTGGCCGCTGCCTCGTATACTAGTTTTCTGAGTAATATTCGCTTAGCCTGGCTAGCTACATTTCAGGAGTCTCTTGTTCAGATCGGTGTCAGGTTCAGACTTAGACCCTCAGCACTCTGAACTTGAGGCGAGAACAGAAGTTCTCGTGTTCAGAACAGTCATGTTCAGAACGCAGAGCACTACATTGAATCGCCAGAAAATATAAAAAGGGACTAAATTTCTGACTAGAATTGAGACATTTGATCTGGCTTTATATTCATTAATCTTACT